CCACTGCAGCAACCCCCGCCTGCTGCATTGGGAGGGAGGGAGGGCGGGCGCATGGAGGGTGGAGGCCCCCGACTCTGCAGGTGACAAGGTGTGCGTGCTGCCTGTCGCTGCCTGGCTGTTTCTCCGAGCTCCTTCTCACCCTTAAAGGCTGGCTCTCATCTCCCCCAGTTACTTGGCCTCCAGGAAGCCCAGCAGGATGCCCCCCTAGACCCGTCACTGCCACTTCCAGGGCATTCAAGCCACCTGTCTGTGTCACTTGTCCCTTCCAAAGAAGGGAAGGAGCCAGAGCCAGAAGCCTTCGTGCACCGCCTCATGTCAGAATCCCCGGGTGCTGGGTGCACCCTGAGTTCCCGAGTCTGTAGGCCACAGACAAGCTTGAGAATAAAAAGCTTCTAAGTGGTTCTTGGTGGGGCAGAAGCTGCAAGTACCAGCCATGCTGGGAGGGCTTGACACACGCCCCAGGGCTGACATCAATAGACAAATGGGTGTCTAGGCCACCTCACTCTTCTGACACACGATCACTGACCTGGGCCAGGTGGACCCTTGAGTGTCCCCTGCTTTTGTCTCTGTGGCCTGGCGCGGGGCTAGGCTACCACCTCCTCCTCCTTCCTCTTCACTACATGCCTTCGTACTAAACTATATCCTTAGTCCTTTTAATCTTTTTCCTTTTTAAATTTTGGGACAAGTTCCCACTAAGTAATGAGTTGCCTACGCTGAGCTCAAATTTGCAGTCCTCCTGCCTCAGCCTCCCATAGTGCTGGGATTGCAGGTGTGCACCACCACACCCAGCTGAGGCAAACTCCTCATTCTCTTCCTCACACATAAAATGGGCAGCGTCCTGCTCACGATGTCAGGGGTCCCCTCTCTGCCGGGCCGGTTGCTCTACACCCCCTCCCTGCTTGCCCATGCCTTGGTCCCCCTGAGCTGGTCCCCGTGTTCAGCTGGGGCCTGCAGCCCTCTCTTCTGAGCTATGGCCAGCTGGAGGCCCACAGCTGTCTCCCTAGACAACCCCAGCCCACGTCCCTCCTGGGTTTCAGCCCCTGGAAAGGATTCCGAGGGTGTCCGTGAGCTTTGGGGGTGCACTGTGAGGATTGGGCAGTGTGGCCCTGTGGGCTCTGTTTGGGCACAGGGTGGGGTATGGAGCGTGTACGAGGTGGACGTGCTGCCTTTGGCCGCCCCAGGTCTCCCGCGGGCTGGTAGGGGCTGGGCACACTGGGCTTCCCTTCTGTAGCAGGTGCCCTCCAGCTCTGCATCCCCTTCCTGCAGGGCTTTGCCCACTGAGGGGACAGCTGGGCTCACCAGGACATGGAAGTTGATCCGCTGGCAGTGATCCTGGCTGGCAGAGAGTAGCGCGGCCCTGTTGGTGAACTGGTCGCTGCCCTCGTCCAGGTGTGCCCGCGGCATGTAGCGCCTCTCGTCCATGGTGGCGTTGTACCTGATGCCTGTGGGAGTGGAGAGGAGGGGTCAGGGCTGCCAAGCTGCAGCAGCGTCCCAGGCAGGACCTGCTGTTCTTCAAAAGCAGCCTTGGGAGGTCCATTTCTGTAGGAAGGCCCTGGGCTGCTCAGGGGACAGCTGTGTCCTTTCCCACAGGAGGCCCAGGAGGGGCAGTTGCCATGCAGAGAGCCAGGCATCCAGGGAGAAAGTTCTGGGGATGGGTGTGGTGGCTCGGTTATGGGGGGATCAGGCTGCTGTCTCCTCCCCTTTTGGAAAATCTCTTGCTGGCTCTGAGAAAGGCTTGGTCCCTTGTCCTGTCTCCCGGCCAGGCCTCAGGGTGCCCTAGGCCTGTGTTTTTGTCCTTTCACAGACCGAACTTGGAAGGGAAGGGAAGGGCAGGGCCACCCAGGATGTTTTTGTGTCCCCACCCCCCGTCTGCTTGTCCCTTGGCTGAGAAGCCACCAGCAGACCCTGCATCTTGCGCAGGGCAGCTGAGTCACTTCTGGGGCGTCCTGGTGGGTGAGCTGGGGTGAACTCCAGCCTTGGGCGGGCAGAGGACAGGCGCAGGACACCGCCCTGCTGGGCTCCTGTGCCCTCGAGGGGACCGTGGCTGTCCCTTCCACTTACCCGGGCTGGCTTCCACCTTCCACACCTGTCTGCTCCTCGCCTTGAGCCCTGTGTTCTACCTGCATCCAGACTTCCTCCTCCTCTGACCTCTCTGCTCACTGCCACCCTCGTCCTGGCACAAATCCCTCTTGTCCTCAGTGTGAGATCACTGCAGGGGCCTCTGGCATGTGGCAAGGGGCTCCACGTGACACCTGGTGCTTGGAACCCGTCCCAGGGAAACTCCGGGCCGTGGAGCAGCGCAGGGCAGAGCAGGGGTGGAGGGGCCTGGCTCACCGACAGTTGCCGTCTGGAAATGGGGGGCCAGGAAGACAGGCGCGAAGCAGAGGAAGGCGGCCAGGCAGGTGGCGTCCCTGCCACTGCGCTTGCAGTCCTTGTGGAAGATGTTGATCTTGGACGGCTCGAAGCGGAGGCTGGCATTGATCTGGACCACGGGCCGGGACCTGCAGCGGTGGGGGTGGGACAGGCTCAGGCTGAGTGCAGCCAGGGGTGCTGGCTCGGGGCATGGAGCAGCCCTCATCCTTGTCCCCAGGCAAGTGAGCTTTCAGCCACACTGAACTCCCTCTGCCTCTCCCTCTCGACCCAGCCCCGACAACCATCAGATCACTGGGGAGCTGGAAACCCCACCGCTGAGCTGTCCCCAGCCTGTATTTAATGGTAGGAGGCACTGGGTCTGTATGTTGTCTCCCCGCTGTGTCACCAGGGGGACAGCACAGTGGCACAGGCCTCTAAAGCTGGGGCATGACGACTCCTTCCTGTGACGGGTGGCCCGGGGCTCTGTGCACATGCGGACCTCATTTCCTGCAAAGGGTTCGTGTGCCACATCTGTCCCCACCCAGCTGTGGACACCTGCCTTATTCAGGCTGTCTCTGGGGAACGTGCACAGGCTCATTTCCTGATTGGACCATAATATACTCCAGGACGGGAGCATTGTTTTATTGTTTGCAGTGCTGGGGATTTAACCCAAGGTCTTCACACTGAGTTACATCCTCAGCCCCGTTTTACTTTTTCCTTTTTGCCCAGGCTGGGCTTGAATTTGCCATCTTCCTGTCTCAGCCTCCCAGAGCTGGGCTTACAGATGTGTGCCACCACCCCTGGCTTTCCCACCCCTCGATTAGCCCTGTGAAGCAATATGCTATCTCTGTTTAATGCCTTTTAAAAATTGTATGAAAATTATGATCACAGCTCTATAAAATTTAGTGCAGGCAGAAAGCTTGGGAGGAAACGACAAAATATTAGTGGTGAAGACGAAATGAATGAGTTCCTTATTTTACAAGTTTTCTCGAAGGTACTGTATGTACGATGAAATATATCTCATCAAAATATGGGAAAGGCTGAAATTAACTTTCTTTTTCTCAAAAAGTAGCCAATGCAAGGTAAGATACATGAACTTATAGAAAACATTGAAATGGAGCCCAGAAAACAGCAAACAAAAGGGGTTTGGGGGTCGGGGATGTAGCTCAGAGGCACCGTGCCTTCCTTGCAAGTGCAAGGTCCTGAGTTCGATCCCTTGTGTGGGAGGCGGTGGTTTTGTAGGACAGAAGTCTCTAAATGATATACACAGTGTCCCATACTCGGGGAAAGGAAAAGCTCCTCCCGAGAAAAGGCTGTCCAATATATCCCTTGCAGTACTTGCAAAGCCGAGCAGAAGGGAGGCCCTGAAGCCAGATCTTTTAGACAAAGTCCAAGGGCTTTTGTGTGCTAAGTTGGTCTGCAGTCCCAGAGATCACCTGGAAGAGGGATGTGGACTTCAAGATCACTTACGGGGACCCCATGAGAAGGACAGCTGCGGTCAGGAAGCATAAGAGCTGGGATCGTTTGGCTGACAGTGGTTAAAGAAGACAAGGGACAGAGGTCCCCATGGTGACCCCGGGAAAGCCCGAGCTGGGACAACAGGGACCCACCACAGAATCACGGCGTTGCCCAGCGCACCCACCGCCAGGTCTACCAGCCCGTCCTCATTGAGGTCCAACTGCCCGTGGATGCTGCAGCCGAAGTACTGGAGGCCGGGCGCCAGCTCAGAAGCTGCGATTCTCTGCGGGGAGAGGGAGAGGCGGGGAGAGGGAGAGGCGGGGCCTTTGTGCGGGGCAGGCGGCAGCCAGGCCAGGGAGGACTCGGACAGCCCGCATGAAGCCACCATACAGGCCTGGTGGCGCAGGCCTGCAAACCCAGCACTCTGGAGGCTTAGGCAGGAAGATGGCAAGTTTGAGACCAGCCTGGGCATCATAGGAACTGAGCGAAAGCCTGTCTCAAAATAAAATATGTATTTTACAAAAGGGCTGCGGACATAGCTCAGTGTGAAGGCACTGGTTCAGTCCTCAGTATTGGCCCCCGCCAAAAAAACGTTTCCACAAAGTGTTTATACATTATGTTACCTGGCAGGTCACCCAGTGGCATCTCAAAGCTTAGTATTTTTGTTGGAATATTTTACTAATAAAATATGTGGCAAAATGATGATCCTGTGGAGGATGGGACCTGAGGAGGGTCGGGTGCATTTTGTCCAGTAATTGCACAGATGTCAGGGTGGGGCCGGTGGGGCGAGGTACAGGGCCTGGATTCGTCCTTGTGTTTGACACTGGGAGGACGGAGGTGGCCGAGGGAGGCTGCTGGGGGAGCGTGGGAAGATGCCAGGTGCCCGGGTCACAGGTGCCGCCCGGGCGAGCAGAGCGGGCACACACAGGCTTGAGGCTGCCCGTCCTCAGCCCCTTTGGAGCCACACCTGCTTGGGTGTCTTCAGGATGCCGCCTTGGGAGCCGTGGAAGATGTAGATGACTCCTTGGTGGCCGTCCTCCAGCGGGGCGCCCACCACCACGTCGTTGTAGGAGTCCTGATTGAGGTCCCTGACCGAGGCGATGGACGCGCCGAAGCGGCTATTCTGGTAGCTGTGGGAATCCTTCAGCATCCCGTTATAAACGAACCGGCTCTGCAGAACCGCGCAGGGCCGAGAGAGGAAGGGCTCAGGAGGCTGGGCGAGGGCTCCGGGCTCCCACAGCACCCTCTCCACTCTATTCCCCGGAACCCAGCGCCAGCGGCCTCCGTGCGCCCCGCCTGGCCACCGGCCGTACCTGCCGCACGGTGTACACGTACACCTTGCCCCGCTCACGGCCCTCGCTGAAGTACATGGGCGCCCCCACCAGCAGGACGTCGGTCACCCCGTCGTCGTCCAGGTCCACTGAGGTGATCTCACTCCCGAAGTAGGAGCCTATCTGTGGACAGGAGGGGACAGGAGCCGGCTGCCTCCTCACACCGACAGCCCTGGGCTCGGGCTCAGGATTGGGGTCCCAGTGGGCCCCTTCTCAGGCCCTGCCTCAGTCGGCTTGCTTCAGTCTTTCCTGCTTTGTGTGTGTCCTTGTCCCTCCTCCCCTGTCTTCAGTGGGCTCTCCCACGCGCCCCCTTCTTTTTTCACACTTTTTGACTCTTACTTTTGGCCATTTATTCTATCGGGAAGTGATACACTGAAATGGCAAAAAAGGAAAATATCAAACAAAGTATAAAGAAGAAAATGAAAGTTACCCTTTGCCCCATTGTGCAGATATAACCACCATGAATATCCTGGAGTATTTTCTTTTAGCCTCTCTCCTGAGCTGTTTTGCCAATTCATGCCTGTGTATGTTTTTAGTTTTGTAAATCGGGATTGAACCCTATCACAGTTTTAAATCAACAGCGTATCATGAGCCTTTCTTCCATGATGTTTTTTTTTTCTTTCCTACAACAAGGTTCCTGCTGCACCTAATCAAGCTTCTGTCACTGTTTTTTTTTTTTTTTTTTTTTTTTGTACCGGGGATCAAACTCAGGACCTTGCGCTTGTGAGGCAGGTGGTGGAACCACTGAGCTAAATCCCCGGCCCACTGGTTTTTAAACTTTACTGTTGCAGATCTGACTTGGAACTTGGGTGACAAATGACACTTCCTTCCTGGCTGCTGCCACTCAGTGTGTCCTCCCTGGGTGTGGGCTCAGGGCTCCCTACCCAGGCATGGTTACCACCTGCCTCATCACAAACCTGAAGGTCACCGGCTCCAGCTCCCTCCACCTCTCCCACCTGCAGAGCCGCCAGCAAGTCCTTCCTGGGCTCAGTCACCACCCCATCTGCCCCTGATTGCTTCCTGGGTGTGGCACCTCTCAAAGGACAGTGGAACTCCACGGCTTGTCCCCCAACCTGCCCCAGGCGCTAGGCTGTGTCCATGCTGTGTGCTTGCCTTTGGAATAAAGTCTAAACTCTTCAGCATGATGCTGCAGGCCTGTCCCCTCCCTGACCTCTGTCCCACTCCTGCACCCAGTCCTGTGGCCCAGCTCCTGTCTACCCACTGTACTTCATCACAAGGCCCAGGCCCTGGCTAGGACAGAGCGTCCGCCTGTACAGCTTCCTGGGTGCATCTTCTCCCCTGTCCCTCCACAGGCAACACCTGCCACTTGCGGGTCGCAGCGGAAGTGTCGCTTCCCTGTATACCACTCCTGGCTTCCCCACCCCCTCCCTGCACTGGGTGCCCCTCCTTGATGTGCCAGACACACACCCTCCCTCCAGCATCTGCTCCCTGCCTGGGAGCCTCAGGGAACTGGGCATCACGCAGGGCACACGAGGGACTGCGTGTGCGCCTTGGGGTCCCGTGGGAAAGGGGTGGCGCCTGCCTGTGGACACGCCCTTGGCCCAGCTCATGTGAGGCCCTTCTTGCATAGGAGTCGAAGTTGTCCCATTTTATTTTCCTGTGTTGGGGATCAAATTCAGGGCCTCACACACTAGGCAAGCGCTCTGCCCCTGCACTACCCCCAGAGTCAGGCTACCTCCTTTTACAGAGGAGGAACCCGAACTCCAAGGACCCGAGTTGCTGCCCAGAGTCAGAGGCTGATCCCCGCCTGGCCGGGTCTGTCTGACCCCCAGACCCCGAGAGCTTCTTCCCCACCTTCTCCTGGCACAGGGCGTTTTCAGACAAGAGCTATGCTCAAGTGTTAAAAGCTTTGACCTTCGAAGGAAGATCAAAATACAGACAAGCGAGAAGCAGCTGGTAAGCCCTGGTGGGAAGCAGGACAGAAGGCCTACGCCAAGTGACGAAGAGGAAGGCAGCAGGTGGGGAGGGGGGAGACACCGATCTCAATCCGTGGCCTCGCCTGTGTGGGTCACAGAGACTTGGAATCTACTTAATTTGCTGCCTTTAGCACTGTGGTCTCTAATTCGGATGCTGGGGTGGAACTGGGCTGAAAAAATGTCACACATCCATCAGCAAATTCCCTCTAGCGCTCAAAGTCTGGCTCTTGTTCTCCAGGGAGCTGTCAGGGAGGAGGTGGCGGCCTGAGCCCCAGGGGCGGCAGAGGAGCTGCAGGACAGTGGCGGACTCAGTCGCCCAGGCAGGGGTGAGGCCTCACAGTGGCGGGTGAGGGTGGCAGGGCAAAGCCCTGGACGGGGCGCAGCTGGGGACGTGGCCACTCTGCAGGGGTGAGGCCTGGGCTGGGGATGCTGGGGTGCCAGCGAGCCCGTCCCAGGCCTGGACGCTTCACTTGCTCCAGCTGTGAACCTGCCATGTATCTCGGAAAAGCCTCATAGCTTCCCAGGACCGAAGATTTCTTGGCTACTGCAGTGATTTCTAATCTTTTCTTTTGTGGCACCGGGGACTAAACTTAGGGTCTTTGCACTGAGCTCCATCCCCAGCCTTTAAAAAGACAATTCATTTTGAGACAGAATCTCACTAAGTCATTAAATTGACCAGGCCGTACTCAAACTTGCCATGCTCCTGCCTCAGCCTCCCAGAGCACAAGGATTACAGGTGTGCACCGCCACACCCAGCTTCTGATCATTTCTTTTTCTTTTTCTCTTTTCTTTCCTCTCCTTCCCCCGCAGGGAGAACTCAGGACCTTGCAGTTTTGAGGCAGGAGTGGGACCGCTGAACCGAATCCCTGGCTTTCCCATTTGCCCTCATGACTGCCCAATACAAGACTCTGTGTCACGGTCTGGTTGCCAACCACACCCAAGAAGGGCAGTGGCCCTGTGCCCAGTCCACACCGACCCCGTTCCAGGGAAAGGGAAGGAGCTGGTACCCCGCAGAGCCCCACGGGGCCTGGCCGCGGGCAGATGCACCCCGGCAGCAGGAAGGTGGCCGGCAGGGTGTGACCGCCCCAGGTGCCTCAGGGCCCCAGCAGCACGGGCTGGGCACCATAACCAGATGCCGCCTACCGCAAAGGGCTGGAGGGAGCTGGCCGCAGCAACAGAGCTCCAGCCAGTGCCCAGAGGCAGAGGACCAGGAAGCGGAGGTGAGGATCCCCCCGGTTCTCCGGGCTCGGGCTGTCTCAGGGCAGTCATGAACCGTAAGCCACGATGCCTTCAGCTGCACCGGCAGGCTGGATGCTGCACTGGGGACCACCCGCCCCGGAGGGAGGGACCCATGCGCTCCGTTACCTGCTCGCCCCGCAGAGCCTGGCGGATACTGAGGCTCCGGTTGTTGTGCATGGTGAACAGGATGACTTTGCCCGTGTGGTTGAACCGGGGGGCTCCGGCCACGTACACCCGCCCCTGCCTGGAGGACACGACCGACGTCACTGTGTACCCTGCCACGGGAGGAAACGGGCTGGTCTCTGCGCCATGTCCTCAGCCGGACAGCGCACCTGTCCCGGGGACACTGTCTCGTGGGCTGTGACCCTGGCGGGGCCAGGGAGCTCTGAAGACCCCCGTGGGAGCACACGGAGTGGGGGACCGAGTGCCACTCCCTGTCCCCGTGTGTGAGGAGTCTGATGTGCCGGGAGTGGTGCTGGCTGGAGAGGTGGCTTTGGCCCCTGCACCCCTTCATTCTGCAGCCCGCTGCCCCTGTCCCGCACCCACAGGCCTCACCCAGGTAGGCGCCGTGGTTCTTGAGCTCCTCGGGGAACTCCTTCAGGTAGGACTCGCGCAGAGGGATCACCTTGCCGCCGCTCGTCTCCTTCAGCACAGCCCCGTTCCAGTCATAGGCGCCCACAGCTCCCAGCAGAATCCCGTCCTGGCCCCGGGAGGGGACACGTCAGATACAGCCGGGGCGGCCTCTGGCAGCCGCCGTGTCTGGAGTTCACTACGGAGCAACCTCACTCCCAGCGGGGAAGCCAGGCTTGCCCCAGCCCATCCTTAGCTCAACACGGCCCAGCATCGGGTCCCCAGGATGGGAATTTAGAAAAAAGGGACCCTCCAGGGCGGCAGTACAGAACCTATGGCATGCAAGCAGCAGCTGGCTATTGGTTAGCATTGAAAGCTCTAAAAGGTTTGCTATCACTGTTCGAGGATAAACTCCAAATCCAAGACCAAACCTGCGCTCCTGCTTGGGCTTTAAAATCCTTTAGGAGCCAGGCGTAGTGGCGCACACCTGTAATCCTGGTGCTCAGGAGGCTGAGGCAGGAGGATTGCCTCGAGTTCCAGGCCAGCCTGGGCTATGTAGCGAGCTCAAGGATAACCTGAACCACAGAGCAAGACCCTGTCTCAAAAAACAAACTAACCAGCCAGCCCCTTTTGGATGGCTGCCCTTCCCTGTGGCCTCCTTCAGAATCCCTCTTGGTGTCTGAGTTGCCTTCCTGTGCGAGTCTGGTTCCCGATCACCACACCTGTTCACATGTCTCCAAATGCCACACTGCATCTCACAAATATATATGGATCAATTAAAAAGAAAAAGCCCACTCCTTATTTCTTCAGCAAAAGTTTGCCAAGTACCTGCTCTTTGCCAGGCACTTACTTGGTGCTGGGAACATTGTCCCTGTTCTTACAGATCTCAAAGATGTTAAACAAACATTCAGGGAAATGTGTAGCTGAAAACAGCAGTAAATGCAATCACAGGGAACCACAATAAGGTTTCATTCAGATTGAGATGGGGGTCAGGAAGCAATTGGAAGGAAGTGACGTTTTACCCAGACCTGGAATGATGGGTTGGGCCAGAGGGCAGTGGGGCTAGAGGAGAGGAAAAGGGCCAGGAGCAGCTTGTGCAAAGGTCCTGTGGCTGGAAGAGGTCAGAGCTTTTGCTTTTGAGGAACTGAAAGCTGTTTGCTAGGGTTGGAGCTCGGAGTGAGGGGATGGAGTGGCTGGAGAAGAGGCTAGACAGATACACAGGGCCACATGTGTGACAGCCAACACCCCAAGGGCTGGAGCTTGTTTCTCAGGGCTTGGAAGGACTCCTGCCCACCAGGAAGACAGGAGGGCATTCTCATGTTTCCGAGTCCACAGTCGTCTCCTGAGGCCTGGGTCACTTTGCCCCCATGGGGCCCTTCCCTTGCCCCTCTACCATCCTGGCATAAAACCCACATGATGGTGGGGCATAGGAAGACCCAAGTGGGTGTGTGAGCAGGGACACCAGGGTCCCACACAGGGGGACCATCCAGGGGCCAGGCAGCATGTCAGATCCCAGCTTTGAGCTTTTGAAGACAGCAGGAAATGTCACTGTGCCCTGAGGCTTCCTGGGCCAAGCCGCTCTCTCACAGGGTTCAGAAACGCTGGCTCCCCAGGGTGGGCCTGATGCGCACTGCATTTTCACCACCATAAATAAGTGCTCTTGGGCGAGTCTGACGCTGGGCTCTGTTTAACAACACTGGGCTCTGTTTATTGTCGAGCTTTCTAGTCAGCCATCTTCCTCCTGCTCTGTGCTCCAGCCTCAGCTGGGGGAACCAGCACTGGGGCTGGGACTGGAACACTCCGCATCAGCGCCCACATCCCTCTCCCCTGGGCCGTCCAGCACGTTCTCCTCCAGTGCCATTTGGGCCCACAGAGGCCCCGAGGCCAAAGCAGTCTTTATCCGCTCTCCAAAAAGCAGGGGCTGAAATTCAGGGCGGGCCAGGGAAGGGCATATCAGAGCCCAGTGCAGGGCGGCCCCACGTCTGGGCAGCTGCAAGGCCACCATGAGGGGACCTGTACCAGGCCGCGGCGTGGCCCGCGGGGTGCCCAGCTGCTGCTTCCAGCTGGCCACATGCCTGCCTTTCCTTATCAAGCTCTTCAGAGTCCTCCGAACTCAGAGTGCCTGGGCAGCGTGGCTGGGAGGAAACTGTGACATCCTGGTGGCCTTCACGCCCCACTCCTCCCACACCCCCGGTGCCATGTGGCTCTCTCTGCCCCCAGCAAACCCAGTCTTGGAAAAGGGTCTCCCAGCTCTGGGGGACAAAATGCATAAGATGAGGACAAGGAGCGACACTGGAAGAGGCAGTATCCAGACGGGACCTTGAAGAACACGTGGATATTTTTCTCTTCTATCCAACTCAACTCCCTGGTTAAAATCCCAGCCTGGCATTTGGCTCGCTCTGTGACCTTGGGCAAGTCCCTCACCCTCTCTGACCATGTCCTCAGAGTCTGTGGCAGCCATGTCCCAAGCCAGGCGGTGTGGTCCCGAGCAATGGCTCCCAGCTGGGTCAGTTCGGACCCAGTGCCTGCAAGCACTGCTGGGGCCTAGGGTGAGAACCCTGGCTGGGGGTAGAACAGGACTCGGGTGCAGACTCTCCTGGGTCCAACTTGGGCTCAAGTCGTGTAAGTTCGTCTCCTGTCTCTCTGCTCCAGGTTCCTTGGCTTGAACATACTTTTTGGGGTAAGTAGCAACATGTTTCATTCTCAGCCCAATGCTTTGTACCTGGTCCTGGTCCCCCTGGGATCCGGGGGAGACCGAGGGCACAGGAAAAGAAGAATCTGAACTCTACGCCAGGCAGCCACACACAAGAGAGACGGGCCGGTGGAGTGAGGACAGGCTGACTGGGGGGTCTCGGGGGGACCAACTGAGGGAGGGGTGGTAGCGGGGTTAGGAAAAGATTTCAACAAAACCCTACTTGATTTATTGGTGAGTTCTGAAATGAACCTTTAGCTCTAAGCCTCACGAAAATACCCCTCATTTCCAGGGATGTTCATCAGACGTCTTCACAAAGTCTGAGGTTCAGAGAGGTGAAGTGGTTTTCCTGAGTCCACACAGCTGGCCAGCAGCGGGGTTAGGTAGGGTTCAGATGCCAGCAGCCCTTGCTGCCACCTATTTGGCTTCTGTCAGGCTTGGCTGTGCGGCCAGGTGGAGGTGGGCCTGGCGGGCCTTGCGCAGGTGTGTGAGCTTGAACTTGAAATCCTCCTGCCTCAGCCTCCAGAGTGGCTGGGAACATCATCACACCAAAGCTAGATTCTCCTACTTTTTATTGAATCAGACATACGAAACTGGTTCAAATGCAAAACTCACAGGAAAAAAATCACCCTGCTAAGGCTTCAGACACCGAGGACCTTTGATAATGGCCCTCGCCGTCCATACTCCAGATGGGCCTATGGGGAGGCACAGGCAGCTCCTTGACCGTGGCCTCCTCAAACCCGAATGGGGCTGGTCACATACAAGAAAAGGAAAAATGGTCTCTCTTTCCATTTTGGTGGGTGGCCACGGTTTTATTGGTAGATCCATCTTTTTAAAATTACTGCTTCCTGCTGTAAGCTTTTGGTGTTGGGGTGGATTTACGGGCTTCAGGGTAGAAGGCCTGATGTCTGGGACGCCTGGCCACTGGGCACCATTTACTCAGGCCGTCTTTCCTCTTTCGCATCTTCCCTCCGTCCTTGAGTCAGACTCTCCCGTCTACGCCCCCTTTCCACACGCTCTCTGGCAGAGCCATAAAGCTCCTGCTTGATTATCCCACTGGACAGGGAGCTCACTGCCTCTGCGGGCAGCCAGCACAGCGGAGCTGGTCCTGCTCTTAATGACTTTTGCATTCATTTTCCAAATGTTAATCGAACCATGGGTTTAAAAATCGGTTCCAAAACTTGACCAGGACTCTGTTGTTAGCCTTCCTGATGGTAATTTTTGGAAAATGCTCTCTTCTCTCAGCATTAAGAGCAGCATTTGTGGCTGCTTTAGCTGAGCTTCTGTCATCATCCCTGGCCTGTGGCTGTGGACTCTGTAGTAGCCAGGTGATGTCTTGGGGCCCCCTCTCTGCCTAGCAGGGGGCCTTTTTTCTGCTGCTTTTGCCTTTCCTGGCTCATGGGCTGGGTCCTTGCTGGAAAGCAGGCGATGAGAAGCTGGACCTTTCCTCTGCCCTCACCTCCCCCAGAGTGGGGACTTTGTCTTCTAATGTCACCAGACAGGTCCAGGCAGCATCTGCGAGGCCATGGGGACCCACGTCGGGAGGGAGGGAACTGAAGTCTTGCCTGGGACAGGTGCTCACTTTGGCTCAGGGCCTGCTCAGGGCCTCTGAGGGCTGAAGCACCGGCTCCTGGGGACAGGATGGTCATCATGGTGGCCACAACCTCTGTGCTCTAAAAACAGCAGCTCCACGGCCACGCATGGTGCCAGGCAGCTCACCACAATAGTGCCAGTCCTTTGCTGTCCAAAGTCTTTCTCTGGTCCTGCTCTCGGAGCCCACTGCGGATCCTGACTCTCGGTGGCAAGAATCATGACTCCTTTCGAGGCTTTAGTTGCATTTGATAAATGCTGGTTGCATTAAATTGCATTTCTAACCCACCAGGACCCCAGAGTCGGGCACAGGACTCACAAGTGGATGCTCTCACCTCCCAGTGCCCCGATCCCCACCCCGGGACTGTGGGGTCCCGGGGGTCTGGGGTGCCAGCTCTGTTCCTCTCATGCCCAGCACAGAGAAGGCACCAGAAAGCTGGCAGTTCTGGCCCCTTCAAACCCAGTATCGATCACCACCTACAGACCCGGCAGGGCTCCTGGGAGCAGGAAACTGTGTGGGCTGCGCGCAGGCGTCGGGCTGTTCCTGCACCGAGGCAGCTGCACTTGCATCTTGCTGTTCTCAGGACTTGGCACACGCGGGTGCCCAGATGCGGCTCTGGAACATCTGAGTGCGGCACTGCGTGCGTGCGCCTCACTCCAATCGGGATTTTGACTCAGACACCCCCTGAGCTCCCTGTTGTCTCAGTGAGCAGCTGCTTGGTATGAAGGGAGGGCGGTGCCCATGTTTTTCTCACTAATTCTCCTCCAGCGGGTCACTTAGTCTGTGTGATTGCATTCATCTGTGTGCTGGGAACAGGACTCCTTTCCTGCGCACCTCGCGGCGTAAGGATGTCCCGTGGGAAGATGGATGCATGGCTGGAGGGAAGGGCTGAGCCTTCGGGCCCCACGCACCAGTGTAGATGTGAAGCCTGGGCCCGGCCCCATGTGGGATCCCTGCAATCCAGGGCTGAGTGCACAGAGTCGGGGTCCACGCAGGACACCCTCCCTGCACGGACATGGCGACCACGACCCCATGAGCAGGACACTCTGGGCACCACTGTGCTGACGAGCTGCATACAATCATCCCCCATTCTAGACTTAACTTTTGCACCAGGTTCTGGGGCCTGAAGGGGACTCTGGTCCCAGAGGGAAATGCGGCCATCAGTGTCCTGCAGCGTCCCTTCTGAGTGGGGTATGGGTTTCTCTGCTCACGCATGACTAGGACAGATGGTGTAAAAAGCGGGGGCTCTTGACTTCCCTCTTCCTTCCCACAGGGGATTCTGGGAGGCAGAGTCCCAGGAAAGAGTGAAGGAGAGGGTGACACAGTTGTGCCAGGAGGGACGACTGTGCCAGCCAAGGGCACTGGGAAGGGCAAGAGGGCGCACAGGAGAGGCAGAGGCAGACACAGGGCAGTGCAGGACCCCTTACCTCCACCACATGCGAGGAAAAGCCCGTCTGTGACATCTCCAGCCCAAAGGACGTTTCGTTCTTGTTGGTGCCTAAAACAGGGACACAAGGACCGCGAGATGTTAGGCCAGGGCCTCACTGCTGAGCACCAGGCAGAGCTCCACGCACGTCCGCTTCCTGCAGGGCGTCATTGGGAACAGCTGGGGCGGGGGTGTCTCCTCTGACAGGGCCCCGAGGCTCCAGCAGCATCCCCTGCCCTTGTCACCTGGCACTTTCTGGGTGGCACACTGAGTAGTCACTCACTTCTGAAAGAGGCACGGGACGAGTCAGTTTACAGGGAAGAGGCACCTAAATGACTGCCGCAGTAGGGGGAGATCGAGAGAACGCATAGAAATAGCGGACATGTTTGGCAAGAGATGGAACCTGCACTTTGTTTATCCCTGTGATGTTCCAGCTGCCACAGAGAGCTCTGAACACCGAGCCGTCACCCCGCAGTTCCCCACAGGGAGGCCCACGTGTGCCCAGAGCCCCTCTCCACAGCAGGGCTCATTGGAAGGATGCTGGCCGCTCAAGGTGACCATGTGGGGAGAAAGACGTTGATTTTGATATTTTAGCTCTGCTGCGGGCGTCAAAGCTCACGCCGTGTCTTTATCTATCATTGCTTCTGCGAACCATTTGGTCTCTGTCCATGTGTCATTTCCTTTGCCAGCGGACTTCGAGGGACACTGTCACCTCTATGCTTTTAGAGCCCTCCCACATGCCCAAAACCCAGGCTGGAAGGACCCGACACTGCAGGGCATGGTGCATATGAAATCCATGCACATTAAGGTGCAGCGTGGATCCCGGGGAGCAAGGCAGCAGGAAGGGAGCCCCACAAAGGCACCTCGTTGGGGAGTGAGCGTTCCAGGCTGCAAAGTTGGGCCCAGGGGTCTCAAACTAGGGTTGCCAGAGAAAATACTGGGTGCCTGGTGAGATCTGAGCTTCAGATAAGCAATGCATAATATTTTAGTGTAAATTTATCACAAGTATTTTTTTTCCTTTTCTAAGACAGAGTCTGTGTAGCTCAGGCTGGCCTTGAACTCTCTAAGCAGCCCAGGCTGGCTTCAAACTTGCAACAGTTCTCCTGCCTCAGCCTCCTGAGTGCTGGGATTACAGGCCTGCGCCACCACACCCGGCTCACAAGCAGTGTATATTTGCCACATCTGGCAGCCTTGGTTCAGATCCGGCTACTTTCCAGGTGTGGGGGCCCTGCCTCCTGAGGAGCAGAAAGCAGAGCCGATCAGGGCAACCACCTTTTGGAGCTGTTTGTAGAGCGCATGCCCTCACCCCTAGCAGGAGCAACACACAGTTGTTGGCATTTTGATTAAGCAAAGACTCTTGCTAAGCACTCCTGCTCTGTGGATTTGGATTGTCCTTTGTGGAGTTTGTCTTCGGTGAGCCCAGGACTCAGAGCCCCTCTTGTCCCGCACAGCTCACCTTCTAGGCTGAAGATCCGTTCTCCCAGGGCATCGACAATGTCCTTCAGGGCCGCCTCATCGGTGACATTGAAGAAGTGCTTATCATCGGGGTCGCTGGCGATGTATTTGATTTCATTTAGAAAAGCTTCTGGATTGATGCCCCTGCGGTTGTAGTAGCCCAGGACCTGCCAGGGAACAGGAGCAGGGACGGCAAAGCAGGACGTGACACAGACCTCCTCCCCCATAAACCTGTGACCCCTGACCTGGGGGCTGTGGCTGGCCGGGACCAGGAGCACCCCTGGAGGTGCCTATCTGCACCTTGAGGCAGATTTTCTCACAGGGACAGCACAAAGCCCCTGGGGTCTGGGAGCTGCTAGGCTTGGGGTGTTTTCTAGCTTTGGGTGTTTCTGAAACTTCTTGGCTAAGGAAGGAAAAAACAAGCCCACAGCTTTTCTGGCCAGGCCTGATCAGTGCTAAAGAAGAGGCTGAAATGACACTATGCTGGACAGACACGCCAGGGCCCCCCAGGGCTGTCAGCCGAGCCCCTGAGAGCAGACTTACCGCCACAGCGTATCTTGTCACGTTGTCTCTCTCGCTCTGCTGGATCACCTTCTCCAGGTCTTGGCTGTCATGGGACTCCCCATCCGTGATGACGATCATCACCTTCTTGGCCCCTTTCCTTCCGCCCTTCTGGAAGGCCTCAGAGCTGGAACCCAGGTTAGAAGCCGGTCATGGGGGAGATGAGGACAGGGCCACCCCAGAGGCCACTGACACCTTGGGACCTTGGATTAAAGCTGTAGCAGTGGTGACACTCAGGTTGCTGTTTCCCCAGCTGCTCAGGTGGGGCTTGGATTTATGTTTTTGTTTAATTTATTTTGCTTTTTTGAGACAACATCTTTCTATGTAGTTCATGCTGTCTCTGAACTCACTATGTAATCCAGGCAGACCTTGAACTTTCGGTGATCCTCCTGCCTCAGCCTCCTGAATGCTGGGATAAGAGGTATATGCCGCCATGCCTTGCTTCTGCAAAAAAAATTTTTTTTGGGGGGGTACCAGGGATTGAACTCGGGTCCTTGCGCTTGCAAGGCAGGCAGTGGAACCAATGAGCTAAACTCCTGGCTTTTGCAAATTTTTAAACAGTGACTTAAAAAAGCCCCTTTGGAGTCCCGATCTTGCTGCTTTGGGCGGGCAGAGCGAATGAAGAGGACATGGGAAGGGAGTTCGGAAGCCACTAGTGACCTTTAGGGGAGCTAAGTTAGTGCTGCAGAATGCCAGTTGCACATTAGGATCTCTTGGGGAGTTTTTAACAAAATATTGAGATCAGGCTCTCCAGGGGGCTGGCCTAGGCATCAGCAGTTTTCAAAAGTCGCACACCATTTGCTAAGGCCCAAGCAGGCCAGGAGCAACTCGACAAGCACACAGCTGGCCGTCACCTGTGTGTCAGGGTCCGACTGCACTGGCTTTTCCCACAGGGCTGCTCTGATTCTATTTTGGGGAATACTCAGTATCGGATTCATGGAAAATATTTCTCTTGCTTTTTACTGTGTTTTCATTGCCCAGAGCCTGAGTGTGGCCCGTCTGTTGAGCCCCTCAGCTGGGACACAGAGTTGGCCCAGTCACACCCGACATGGCAAAGAAGCTCGTAGCACCGCCACTCGGTCTACAGAGCATGGGAAATTGGCTCGTTCTGCCCCGTGGCCGACACTCCTCAGACTCAAGGTTCTGAGAAGGACAGATGTGGTCTCGCCCAGGAGCCGGGCCCAGCAGGCAGGATTTCCAGTAAGGATCTTAAACAGAACGGGACTCCCAGACTCTGACCACTCGGGGGTCAAACCCATGCTGAGGCAGGAGGACAGCCTCAGATTTCAGCTCTGCAAGACCAGAAGACTGGGGGGAGGCACGGAGGTGCCTGCTGGGGAGCTGCCGTGTGTGATTTGGCTGTCGACAAATTCAAAAGACCTGGAGTAAGTTAGCTCAGAATTCTTCATTCCACTAGCAAAGAGGAAAAGCCATCTGCCACTGACTTAGTGACTCTCATGATATTCTCACTGTGAGCGCTTAGAAAACCCTCTGGTTTTAGCACAAGCTGTGGCCTGAGGGCTGCAGAGCTCACTTAGCAGCTTTTGGACATCAGCCTGATCCAGGTTCCAGACACTTTCGTCATCTCCTTGAGGGGTCAGGCCCAGCAACAAGGCTCCACACAGAAAGACAAACGGCAGCAGAACAGATTTTATGGAGCGAAGAAAAATTTCAGCACCGTTTTTCTCAAGAGCAGGACAGTACGAATGTCTACACATCTGTAACAGCATGAAGATCAGCAGAATAGCCCGATTTTCAGATGGGCTTTTGTGCTGGATAAAGGGACTTGGCTTTGTTCCTTTGCACATGAGGTTATAAATTCCTTGAGAGTAGTGAGAGCTTTGTGTTCATAGCAGGTTCCATCAAGTGAGAAACCACGGTGAGCCCGGATGTCCAGCACATCACTGTATCACATCTGCCCTGCTGAGCACCTGCCTGGCTCCCACTTGTCTCAGGGGAACCCTGAGCTCCCTGGGTACCTCCCTCTCCAGCCCCTACTGAGTTAGGATCAGGTTCACAGTCCTTAGAGCTCCTCTGTTAGGCTGCGCTGCTAAGGCCGAGGCCAAGGTAGGTTACCATCTTTGTAACCAGCCATCCAAGCCCATGGCCTGGATCTTTGCCTGTTAGTAGGTACACGGGGGGCGGGGGAGGGAGGAATACTCATTATGAATAACAAAATAAGAGAGAAAAGTTTTCACTTTGAATGGCACCAGGAGAGCTGGGAGTAGTGGCACAAGCCTGTAATCCCAGCACTCTGGGAGGCTGAGGCAGGAGAATCAAAAGTTCAAGGCCAGATTGGGAAAGTTAGTGACTTAACAAGAAGGCCCTCGGTTTAAACCTCAGTAAAAAAAAAAAAAAAAAAGAGGAAGGCGATTTTAGGATGTGAACTTGAGAGGCTGGAAGGTCAGGATTTCAAACTTCACTTGCAACCCCAGTGGTGCTCTCAAGTCAGGAATGGTTTAAACCACCTGGTGAGTCACACAAGTAGAATTGACTGGAGGTTGGTGGGCTGCAAAATGAAACCAAAATAGAAGGTTTCATCCCGGTGAGTCAGTTAGCTTCCCACTGGGAAACTGACCAGATTCCTTCATCCCTCAGCCACTTCCCAAGGGCTGGCCGGGGTCTCAGGTCAACAGCAGAATGGCCCATTCCTCTGTGGCCCAGTAACAGAGCCATCTTCCCAGAAAGGAGCAAGCGCTCCCTTGGGAAAAGCTCAAGGGAGTTTTATCAGCAAACAGAAAAACACTAATTGAGCAGTGACTTAATCATAAAAAGTTGTGGGGTTGGAACTATCTTCATTTTCTGACCACATGAAATCGTGCTACAGCTACATTGCTCTTACATCCTGGGATTTTAACACATCAACTGACCCTAAATGAGGCGGGACGACAAGGTAATGGTGCCGTGGATCTATAGAAGAACTTGTATGCATGAAGTTTAGATATTTAAAATGTAAATGCCTTTGGCATAGTTGACTATTTCTTCCACAGAGAGGTTCTGCCCTTGAGCGACCTACACTTTTAAAGTGCATCTGTGGCACATGTTTTCCCAAGTGGCTGTAAATAACAGCTTCCCAACTCTGCAAGGTGACCTTGTTCTGCCATCAAAAGGCACAAGTTGTCTCCCCCCTGAACCTGTCTTGGCCTTCGTAACTTGCTCCCCCAGTAGGGTTGGCTGAAGTCACACACTGGGACTTCTGGGCTAGGGCACAGGCAGCCTCCCAGGTCCTGCCAGGGTCTCTGGGGTGCTTGCTCTTCACCTTCAGGTGTCACATGAGTGAGACAAGCCACAGGGCCATGCATGGTGCTCAGGTGTGTGGGCCCACGGGGTACCCGCCCTGTATCCATCGGAAGCAGGTCACACGCCACCTTGGATGTCCAGCCCAGTGGAGCGTGCAAGTGACACCAGCCCCAGGCGACCCTGACTGATGCCACAGGAGAGGACCCAAGAGAAGCCTGATTAGCTGGGCCCCATCAACCCCTAGAACTTTGAGGAATAAAACATGGTTTTAAGACACTAAATTTTGTGTAGTTTGTTATGCACCTATAGGTAACTAAAACAGTATTTGGGATCTGTTTTTTTTTTACCGAGCAAATTCAATGCCAAATGCTGTTCGGGTCTCTGTTCCTCCTCTCTGCTCTATATGGCTGGCAGCTTCTACCACATCCTTGACAGATTTGTAGTCATTGAGGTGAAATTCATGGACTGCGTCTTCCCCGTACTGGACAACTCCAACCTGCAAGGCAGAGGAGAGAAGGGAAGAGAGTATCCCTGTTCCTGAAACTCAGACCTCTGCCGGTGACAGTTCAGCAGTAAGGAGTCGTCTTTCCCAAGAAGTAACTAGAGCCCAAGGAAGAAGGTTCTGGAAAGTTTTGGAATAAACAGTGGCTCTGTGAGATGAGGGTGTGCATACTGAGAAAGGAGACTTTGAGATTTAGGGAAAAGCCCCATAGATTATGTGCCTTGTTGAGAAAAGCATGGAAATCTAAAATACGAGAATCAGGGTGGGAGAAAGGTCTTGGTGAAGAGGTCCTTCCATCCTCAAGGTCGGTAGAATAATGACAATATAAATAGCTTTCTAATAAACCAAAACCCCTTAATGACCCGTGGTAGGGATCCAACAATGAAATGTTACTGTTGTGAGGGCCTATGGAGTTCCTTAGGGACAAGTGCCCTTCAAATATTGGGTGGTCACTTCCGACACCCTAAAAGATGGCCTTCTAGAGGGGAACCTCATCTTTTCATGAGACACCCCTCTCCCTTTTCAGTAGCTCTACTTGTTAAAAGTCATTTCTTACAGTGACTGGACACTCGAAGTGACTAAACCGTGAGATGAGTCCTCCCCAAACGGTCCCCTGATGCGCCCACCAAGGATGGGGGCCTTGGGGCCTCACCATCTCACCTACGCCCCCTTAATGCATGCAGAGATGCCTCCCAACACCTCGAGACAGCCAAGGCCCGTGCTTGGAGGGGCAGTGCCGACTGCTCACCTGGATCTGCCCTGGGCCAATGTAAAACTTCTTCAGGATGTTGATGAGGAAATGCTGGACCTCCACCCAGGGGTAGATGCTGTTGGAGCCGTCCAGGACAATGACGATGTCCATGTAGGTCTGGCACCCTGCGAAGGGCGGACGTGGTCATGGCCGTCCAAGGAGCCAGGGTCGGCCAGTCTCTGACTTTCAGGGTGACTTCCAAAGAGTGACGACAGGAGGAGGACGGCGTGTATGGCTCCCTGGCTGGAAGCCATCCCTAGCTGGACATTTATTGAGGCAACACAAGGAGTTGGGAGCCCCTGGCTGTGTCCCACTGCTCTGCGGACTGTTTGAACAAAGCTCACCAAAGTCTGTACACCTCTGCTCTGGATCAGGGTCTGACCCCGCTGAAGGGTCCCTGCCCAGCTCAGGCCCTCACTGTCACTTCCTTCACTCACAGCCCGAATGGATGGATTTCATTTTTGAGGACAGAGGTAGGGTATCCGGCCAGGAATGTGGATTTGGCATTAGACCGAACAACTCCTGGCCTTACAACTTCCTGGCTACGTGACCTGGGGGAGTCACTTAATGTCCCAACCCCAGTTTTCTCTGCTGTCGAAGAGGCACCGTGATGAGTCAGGCAGTTAGAAGAACACAGTTCTATAGGGCTAGGCACAAAGCAAGCGCCCAATACATCTCAGCTGATGCTACTTTTTCATTTTTTTTAAGCAAAGCCCCAAGTTCAAAGGGCTGTGACATCACACGAGCATGCCCTGGGCCTTTATCTCTCTACAAATGTAAGGCTTTCTTTATGTTCTTGTAATATTAATATCAAATTAAAAGGAGTCATAAAAACCAAGGAAAATAAATAAAACACAGGCGTCTTAACAAATGTAAAAAAGAAAAACCTCTTAAAATCGAAGCAATCTTTGCCAATAGCTGGGCTGTGCTGGATCAGCCCACACACTTCATAGCTGGACATCTGCTTATTTTTACTGGCGAATTTTCACGCCATTGAGAAGTCTACCTTACATCAATGCTCTGTGTCTTTTCAATACCGACTGCTCTTGTCCTTGACCTGTGAAGACCCAAGTTGCCATGCTTTCATATTTTCAACCACTTTTATTGTTAGAATGAATTTGTTATCACTGATTTCTCCCTTATAACTTTAATTATTTAGTTTTGAAGTTTCAATTAAATATAAAAGATACCTCGGGAAGAAGGTGCCTTTGGATCTGTGCTGCCTTAAACATAGCCGAGTATGAAGAGTCCTCAAACAACTAAGAATGGAAATTGCATTTGACCCAGCTATTCCTCTTCCAGGAGTCTTCCCGAGAGAGTGGAAGATATCACATTACAGTGACACACGTGTACCCATGTTGATAGCAGCGCAATGTGTAATAGCTATTTTGGAAGTGGACTCTACGCCCATCAGTACACGAACAGAGAAAATGTGCCATTTACACACAGTGGGGTACTTCTCCATCAAGAAGAAAGAAAAATTCGGACTCATTTTTAGGAAAATGGGTGCACCTGGAGGCCACACTGTTCAGTGAAATAGGTCAGACAAACAAGCTTAAATATTACACGGTTTCTCTTATATGAGAAACCCAAAATATAAACAAAGCATAAAATAAAAGATAGATAACAGAAAACAGGGAGGAGATAGATCCTTTGCAAATGGGCAGGGGACCAAGAGAGCGTGAGGGAAGAGGGAGGAGAGGAAGGGTAAGAAGATGACAAAAAAATTACAATGTGTTATATACAGGCACCAACTTTCCAGGATGAACGTAATCATCATGTACTGCAAATGCGTACTCAGAAAAATAAAAATGGAAAAAACAAACAAACAAACCAACCCATGGCTGAACCCTCCCTTGTGGAAAACACACACACACACTCACACTCCAGCACCTATCTCACACCTCCTAGATCAGAGCCTCTAGGGGCCGCCCTGGAGCCTGTGTGTGCTAAGCGGCCAGGGCAGGGCTGCTGGTCAGCCAGGTCTGGAGGCCTCCGCTGTAGACGCCTAGGGATGCTGACACGGTCACGTCTCAGGCTGGAGCGGCCGGCACTTCTTCCGAGTCCAGACATGATGATCCCTAGAGGACCTCCCGGGTGCCCCGACCCTGGGCTCTGCTGCCTCACCAGCTGTGAGGACCCACCTCCTTCCAGACCCTGCTGGCCTGGTGCTTCCTCCCCTTTCTCCTGCAAGCTCCGCCTCCCTCCACTGACTGGGCCATTGTTTGCTGAGAGGCTGTGGGCAGCCAGAGGTGCTAATCCCTCAAAACATCCGTAGCTGCCTGGGTGAGGGTGTCCAGCCCAGAGGAAACGGTGAGGCTCAGGGCCAAGAAGTCTGGGTTTTCCCGAGCCAAGGCCTGACACTAAGTCCCCAGGTTTTCTTGTGGGTGGTGGTAGTGGGGGCTGTGTTCCATTAGCTACAGGGCAAGCTGGGCTGAGCTCCCTGAGGCCCAGGAGCACTGAGTTGGGATAAGGATTATTAAGTCCACTTCTTTTCTTGGCCCTCCACCCTACAGGGATACTGCTTTGCACAACTTCAAGGAGCACCATTCACACTGTAGTCTAAGTGAGTGACTCAGAATGGAGCCCAGTATAGTTTTCCTGCTGTACATGGTGGCCTGGCAACTGCTCCCATGCTTGGGGGATTTGTGCTGAGCCCCTCTGATGCCAGGGCAGTCCTGATAGCCTTAGCCCATCTGAGGGAGGCCGGCCCTCTCTGGACTTCCTTGCCTAGCCCAGGTCTGCAGGTCTGAAGCCACTTACTCTGGAGGGCTGGGGCCACAGTCTTGGAGAACCGGAAGTTGGCGTTGACTCGGGAGCACATCCCCGTGGTGTAGTAGGAGCTGCCGCACTCGTGAGACCAGAGCGGGCTGCAGGCCTGTGAAGCACAGTGCAGTCAGAGGGTGGGGCTCTTGGAGGATCAGGACCGGTGGCCCCAGGCCCAGCCCCCGCCTGTGGGACCAAGGCAGACTCTGAGTGCTGGGGACCCAGGGGCCAGAGGGTCCCTGTCCGGTCTGCGTCTCTCTTGCAGTGGGCAATGGTTCCTTGGTCTCGGGTGCCACGGGGACAATGGGTCTTGGAATCAGCCTTCCTTACAGGGTCTGGGACAGCCCTCGGGGGTCACTCTAACTCTGCTGTACATGGGGGTCACCTGGAGGTCATTACCGGGCAGACTTCCGGGGCTCCAGTGACATGCGGCCATGCCACCGAGCTCGCTCGCGTCCTCAGGCCCTCCTTGAAGGACCGGGTGTCAGGTTTCTCTCCAAGGCAGAGGTGTTGAAAGCAAAAGCCCGGCTCCTCCTGTCCTGCCTGTCCTGCCAACAGGACCCCTGGGCTGCTGTCAGTGCCTGTGGTTTCGGGAAGTCACTGTTCTACCCCCAAACCTTTCCTTAATTAGCTTTCTGGTTCAAAAGCTGTACATTAAAGAGGCTGTTTTATCTGTGCATCTTGCTGAACTGCTGTGAAATATTTTTGGAAGCACGGAGGGAATAAAGAACGGCAGGATGGATGGAAAGGTGACGGGCGGTGGATGACGGATGGATGATGACCATCGATGGGTGACGGGCGGACTCAGGACGGGGTGAATGGGAGGATGAGTGAGTGGATCGCCATGCAGACGGATGTGTAGATGGATAAATGGGCGGAAGATGACGGTGAATGGGCGGATGCTGAGTGGGGGCTAAACTGACGGATGAACGGACAGACGGGTTCAGGAAGGGGAGGTGGAAGAGAGGACCAAGTGGGAAGACGGCTGGGTGCAGGGGCAGATAGGCAGGGGACGAACGGATGGATGGCAGATGGACGGGGTGGATGACCGGCGAATGAATGAGGTAACAAACAGCTGCTATTTCTAAGCAGAGCCCTACCCTGTGCGGCCCCAGGGGCCCCTCTCAAACCCTCATGCCACCTGTGAAGTAGGCGAAATTAGGTTGGCAGGACTCTGGCTCAGAGGGTGGAGGGCATGGAGACCGAGCCCTGGAGGGTGTGTGTGGGCAGGGCCAGGGTCCTGCTCTGTCCCTGCTTGGGATGGCAAAGGGCAGTGGCTTGCACCTGCATCTCAGGACCTTCCCTGGTGGGGCCACCAGGTTCTTCAGGCCCGTGAAGTGAGCCGTCACAGGGTCCCGGCATCGAGGGCGCCATGCCCCGGACACCGCATCTGCCAGCAGGGACAGACTCGTGGACCAGAGTGGAGATCGGCTCCAGCCCTCCCACCTGAGGGCAAGAGGCTCTCTTCTTGTTCTTCGCTGTAGTGGGAATGGAACCCAGAACCTTCACACTGAACCTTTGTTTTTTTATTTTGAGACGGGCCCTCGCTAAATTGCTAAGTTTCTCAGGCTGGGCTCAAATTTAACAGTCCTCCTGCCTCAGCCTCCCAGAGTGCTGGGACTACAGGCGTGCGCTACCACGCCTGGCTTGGATGGTGTTTTTCACTGAGCTTCCTGGGGCAGTTTTTCTCTGAACTCTCCTTGCACCTGCTCTAGAAAGCACCGGTCCCCTTCTAAACCCTGAATGTCACCCACATTCTCACAGGCAGGGGTCGCTCCAGTGAGGTGGCCTGTCTGTCACACCCGCTCTCCCTTCCTGTGTGCAGAGCCCGCGTGTCCCCACTGGGTAGGGACAGACACCTCCAGCATTGGCGCTGCTGTCTTTCATACACATTTCTCGTTTTTTTTATCCTCTCTCCCCCCACAAGAGTGAGCGTCCCAGCTGGGCTGGAGCTCTGCGCACAGCCAGGTTCCCAGCAGAACAGATTGGTGTTTGAATGAAAGAAAGAAAGAAAGAAAGAAAGAAAGAAAGAAAGAAAGAAAGAATGTTTCTACCACTTCAGCCCAAACACTGCCTTCTCTCTCTTCCCTGCTGAGACCTGGGTGCTCTTGACAAAGAAGGGTACAAGGGAGAGCGTGGGGCCCTGGCTCTTACCAGGAAGCTGTTGTCCTTGGGGTTGGTGGCGAGGCTCAGGCCCAGGCGCATGTTGTCCTTCCGCTCAGACACATTGGATAGGGTGACCCTTCCTGGAGTGGAGAGCACAAGTCAAGCGCACCCCTCCCGCCTGCCCTCTGCCTGGGCCCTGCTGCTGCTGTTGTCCTGTGCTGCTTGGGTCCCTACAAGTCCTGCAGGTGCCCCAGGCTGCAGTTGCAGCCTTACAGGTGGCAGGAGCTGACAGACTGGGCCCAGGGAATCACAAGGGCGCACAGGCAGCCTGCAGCCCAGCCTTCCGCCTCCTGCTCCATCTTTTCCTCCACCAGCCATTGGACTGGACCCCAGCACCGCCTTGGATCACCCCGACACGGCACTCACTAATTGGGGCCCCCTCTGTGACTGTTTCTATACTTCCCTCACACCAGCCTCCCCTTCAGTACTCAGAACCGGGTCTTTTGTATTTTTTTGGTGGTGGTTGTATTGGGGACTGAACCCAGGGCCTTTGCACTGAGCTAAATCCCCTTTTGAGATAAGGTCTTGCTGACTTGCTAAGGTTAAACTCGAACTTGCGATCCTCCTGTCTCAGCCTCCCAGAGTGCTAGGATTACAGATGTAGGCCACCACGCCCAGCTCCTACTCTTCCTGGGCCCCACTAGGGCCTTCAAAACAACTGGCAAGTGTGCCTGAGGGATTCTTTATCACAGGCAACTTGACAAAGAGTCTTCCACAGGGACAAGGCCCTGCCTGGGAACGGAGCCAGTACGGCAGCTGGCTGGGGTGGGGAGGGGGCTGTCACCGTGGCAGTTTCTGGGATCATTCTTTCAGATCACCAAAAGGAAGAAAAGGAGTGAGAATTTGCCAGGAGCGTGTGCGTGTGTGTGTGCGTGCACGCATGTGTGCATGCAGGTGTGTCCATCCATGTGTGTAAGCCCAGAGAGGCTGGACCACGGACGCCCCAACCTGCAGTAGGGGGACCCCTGTGAATTCCCTGTTGGGGCTCAGGGGTCTTGACCTCAAGTAGTTTGCATTCTACTGTGTGCATTCATGGACCTGTGATGTGGCGGCCCTGGGGGCAGGCGCAGGGTGGGGCATCAGCATAGGAGAGCAGCCCAGGGCCGTCTCCAGCAAGGCTCCTTTGGAAGAACAGTCCAGCCCCTCGGGCTAAGGGAGGCTCCCTTCTCGGTGCTTCTATCGGACAGGCTGGATGGAGGATGAGGGGCAGCCTGCATTTTGGAGGTGCTGAGTCACCTCCCCAACCCCTGCCCTCCCTCAAACCCAGCTCCATCCGGGGGTGGGAAGGAAGCCGTAAGCGCAGACTCTCATACCGAGGTGCCAATGCCTGACACCCACTTAGCTGTCCCTGGAGCAAGGACAGAGCTGCTGCCCAGCCCTGGGGAGGCTGTAGGAGAACCCAGGCCTCGGCTTTCCCAGCCTTGGCTTCCCATTTGATGATTTTCCTCCATCCCAACTCACTTTGCTTCCCACTGCCTCCTGGGCCTGTGCCCCAGCTTAGAAATGCTTTCCAGAGCTTTACGTCTCCCTGTCTCTATGGAAATGGGGCTCACACTGGAAGCTAGGGCAACAGAGGAAATTAAATGTTTGTTTCCATGTCCATGCCCCTCCCAAATCCATGTCCCTCCGGTGACCTGAGCCCTGGGTGCAGTGCCTGCCGCCCATACTCCTACCCCAACCACAGCACCCTTCTCCACTTATTTTTTTTTTAACAGCCTTGGCTTCTTGCTCCCTCTGTATCTGCATGACTACAGTGCTTAGGGACAGAGAGACCTCATCACTTCACATGTAAGTCAAGGCCCAGAGAGAGGGTGTGTGCAATCCAGGCACACACAACAAACAGACCAGGTAGCGGGGCAGGGATGGCAGGGTCTGGAGCCTCCCGCTAGGCCCCTACTCTGCATGGTCCACTCAGTGAAGCTGGGACCCCACTGCACTGGGCTCTGAACTCGCCTCCCTGGGGGCACAGATGCAGATACAGATAGTGGAGCTCCAGGCTAGCGTGACTGAGGGCTGGCACCCTGGGTGGCTGCGTCCTCGGGGCTCTTGCGACTCCAGCCTGTGCAACCTCCTGCTTGTCTTTTCAGCCTCCACCATCTCCTCCTGGGTCTGCTGCTCTGCCCATCCCCACCTCCCCAGGGAGCCCCACTGATACTCTGGGCCAGAGCGACCTTGAACTCACTACGGAGCCCAGGCTGGCCACAGACTTGCTGAGACCTTCCCGCCTCAGCCTTCTGAGTGCTGGGGTGACAGGCATGCACCACCACACCTGGAAGTCCCTTGACTGTTAGGCAGCTGAACCTCAAGTGCAGTGGGACCCAGTGAATGAAAATAACTTAAACGCTCTTAGTCCAGCACCTGGCACATGGCGAGCACTGTTTATAATGCAAGGATGTTCGCTATTGTTTTGATTTCCCAATCAGAAAGAAGGCAGGAGGTGATTTTTCTCTCCAAATTAATGAGGGGAAAGGGATGAGTTGGGGACACTGGAGCCCTAGCTATGCAAGCTATGCAACTATAGGAAGTTGCTCCCTCTCTGCCCTCAGCGTCCTCATCTATAAAATAGGGGATGACATCAGCTGGGTCACCTAGTGGGGCAGCGAGGAGGCGTCAGGGGACCGCACATGGACGTGCACAGGGCCCGCTCTGTACCGGACCGGCGGCCACTTACCCAGGTTGAGCTTGGTGCAGTTGCCCTGGGTCACAGGACACTTGTAGATGTCACCTGTCTTCTGGTGGCCGTTGGTTTCCAGTGGGGCCCCCACAACCAACCTGTGGAGGAAGAGAGGACAGCACAGTCGCCGGGGGCACACTCCTTCCTGGCAGAGGACAGGAAGATAGAGCAGCAACCCCAGGACGGGGGTGCACCCTTGCCTACGCGTGCAAACAAGGGTCCGTCAAAATGTACAGTGAGCGTTTAAATGAAAAACGATTACAGTAAAAGACACATCACCGTTCATTCCCCTTGAAATGCTGCTCCTCGAGGCAAACACATCCCTCTGTTCTCAGCACTTTCTGAAGCAGCTCTGGAAGTCTGTTCTGTGAGTGTCTTTATAAAGTGCAGTAAAAATACCATGAATGCTGCCTCCAAGCGCCACCCAACGGAAAGGGAGGCTGGTAAAAGCATCGCAGTGAGTGCTCCTCCACCTCATTCGCCAGGGCTGGCACCGTGTGACCTCTGGCTCCTCCCCAAAGGCAAAAGGGCCACCAAAGGTCAGCGTTTCAGTGGGTTCAGGACATGCAGGCAGCCATGACAGCATCTAAAGACAGTTATGCAAGAGGACTCCAGAGCCGCTGCAGGAAGCGGCAGCCATGATGGGATGCGTGTTCCAAGCGAGGAGAGGGCTTTGATGCTGATTATGGCAAAGCTGACTTTTACTATAACAGATAGATGTTAGATGGATAGAGATTTACCACATTTTTCTAGGACACCTCCTTGCTAGCCTGGTTCTTTTCCTTCTGCCAGGCTGAGCCTTACTGGCTTCCTGAGAGGAAAAACCTACGACCCCTTGGGCTGTGGCTTCGGCTCAGCTCCTGTGAGACCAGGGAGGGTTCGCCCCAGCCTTGAGTCTCTGGGAACACCCGCTGAACTCGCCAACCCCCCTCCTCCACAAGTGTTTCCAGGCGGGGACAGCACCCTTAGGGGTGGCCTGAGCATAGCCTGGGGAGGCTGCAGGAGCCTGGCCTGGCCTCACCTGAGGTGCACCCTCCTGTGCCCATTGTCAGCGGTGTGGCACTCGCACCTGGAGCCCTCAGGGCCTTGGGTGCCCCTCTCACTTTCGGCTTAGGCCCAAGAGCTAATAATACCGACTCAAGATCAAAGTCCCTGCCAGGCACGGTGGCACATACCTGTTAGCCCAGCACTCAGGAGGCTGAGGCAGGGAGATTGCCGTGAATTCGAGGCCAGCTTGGGCTACACAGTGAAACCGTGTCTCACACAAACAAAGAAACAAGCAAACAAAAATCACTGTCCCTTTTCAGGGACTCAGTGCTGCAGTGGGGGCCCACAGCTCACAGCAGACCTAGAGACATCAGATCAGAGAAGCACAGGAGACATGGGGGACCTGGAGACACAGGGACAGGCGAGGCACTTGGGAGCCCATGAAACCTGCCTTTCCAGTAGCTGCCCACTGCTGGCCACACTGCCCAAAGAAAAGCCCCCACTTGCTTCCTGACGAAAGGCAGTAGAGAGGAACCGCCTAGGACTCTGCTGGTTTCTTGAGGCCACAAGCTCCTGGTCCTGCCTGGCCCAGTTTTGCTCTGTCCCAAAGAGCCAGGTCCCAAGCAGGGGTCCACAGGGCTCTGCGTGAGCTTAAGTGTCCGTGAAATTGGGGCTGAGGTTTGTCCCCCAGGGAGCCAGATAATGACAGGTTCTAAATACGGCCTCTCATAAGCACCACTCTTTTTGGCTGGCAGGAATTAATTGGACCCATAAAATCTGTTTGTCTAGACGACGTGCTTTCTGGCTACTTAATTCTGGAAATGATTGTGTGGTCAGGACTGCTCTGTTCTTTCCAGAAAGGAGGAAGGCAGGGAAAGACGGAAAGATCTGTCAGAAAGCTGTCCTCAAGCTTGCTTCTCTGCGTGCTCTGCCTTTCAAGGTCCATTCTACATGTGACAAATCCTCCTGAGGGATGTCCCCTCCTGGGCACACTGCTGGATGTGGGGAGGGGTGCTTTCTGGACAGGGTATCTCTGTTCAGGCTGGCCTTGAACTCACCATGTAGCCCAGGCTGACCTTGGACTCATAGCAATCACCCTGCCTCAGCCTCCCAAGTGCTGGATTACAGACATGCGCCACCAGGCTCGGTTTTCCACATGTCTCCTAGAAAACACCCCCAGCCTGACACAGGCCAGCTCCTCCCAGCTCTTCCCACCTTATAGAGCAGAGCCCTGTGGGTGCAATGGCCTCCTTGGAGGGCCTCTGGCAGAGGCTGAAGTCCGTGGTTGAAAACCAGGAGCTGGGTCTTGGCTCTGCCATCATCCAGCCCCCAGCTCCTCTCCTGGTCGCCTGCTTGTCTGCCTCTCCTGCAGGCCCCGGACTCACCAGCCTCCATAATAACCGCACAGCCAGTTCCTCCCACTGAGTCTCTTGAGCAATCAGTTAACTTTGCAGATCTTGATTTTCCTGGCTGTGAAATGGGATTAAATCTTTTTACTGCCCATGTCCCAGGGCCACCGTGGAAGCCTCTTATCACTGTGTTGTGCATCTCTTTGCCAGGAAGGAAGCCTGGTCAGCCCCTTCCCCAGGTCTGAGGCTGGGCATTACGTGTGCCTGCTGGGCTTGAGGTCTGGAGCGAGTCATTTAGTATAAACTGCTGCCATGCAAGGAAAATGCTCACGTCACCATGAGGGGAGCCAGACTGCTCCTGGGGTCTGGCAGCCCCAGGCACCCCCTGTGGCCTCAGAGTTATGCAGCCATCCATGGGCTCGGGCCTGGTGGCCTCTCACCAACACCCTCAGCTGTGGGCACAGGCGGCCTGGCAAACCCCAGAGGTCCTGGCAGCCATTAGTTCCCCTAGGGGTGGGGCTCTGTGCCATGAGTCACCTCCCTACACACCCCACACGTACTTTTATATGTAAACTGTACCAGTGTACAACGTTGGATCTGCATTTTATACGTCAGCAATGCTTTTTCTCAGGTAAAAACCTAAGCAGAAGGGGAATCAGCTTATTTCTTCTCCTGAGCATGTGGCCTGGCCTGTGCTCCCTATGTCCCCCACAAGCACCCCTTAAGAAGCCACCCACATCCCGCCACTCCAAGGGAACCTGTTGCTGAGCATCCCAGATAAACCAGCGTGAAATCCTTGCTGCCCCATGCGGTCAGTGAACCCTTGACTTACGAACTCAATTCCTCTGTAAGGGCTGGTTGTAACTCAGGTTGGCCAATTGTAGGCTCAATCTTCTCTACTCAGCCTTCAGAGTCTCCTTTACACAGGCAGATCTCAGGGTCGTTAGAGAGACACTGGCCCAGGATTGTCAGTTAACCCCACATGGGAAAGGATGTTGTGCTGTTCCTTCCAGAACTCTTAAAGGATTAACACTGTATCTAAGACCGTCTGCAAGCACAAGGGGCTGGCATTTGGGTCATAACTCAAGACTTTGGTCATAAGTTAAAACTGAAATTCCTGTTATAATCCAAGGCCAGTCACAACCCGAGGGTCCACTGTAGTGTGACTTCCTTGGGCTGGAGCAGCCTTGCTCTGCGCTGCCGTGCCGGCTGGAGGCACTGTAAAGGGTCACCCACTCCCTGACACGGCCTCCTCGGGGACAGTCTGAAGAGCAGCTGTGGCCCTGAGAGCTTGGCCTTGGTCCTCAGAGAAGCCCTCAGATTCAGTGCCTGGCAGGAGTCTTGTCCATGCAGAGGTTCCGATCTGGAGCCTGTGTCCTCCTTCCCAACAGTCCTCGTGTCTGTTTGGGGCCCTGGAAAGTCTGGTTCCACTCTCAGTCCCAGGGATGGAGCACGTAGGTTAGACCAGTTTTATCTCCCAGCTACAACAGGTCACCAAGTCAGTCACCCCACTCAGAGTGACTCTCAGGACTTCTGCTTCGGATGCAGGGACCAAGCTGACCTCTTTCCTCTTATACTGTGTGGCTGTAAGTCCTGGGACTGTCGGCAGCCACTTTGTGAGGCTGAGGGGTGGCAGCTGACGCATGGAGAGCAGGAGGGATGAGCGAAGAGTCAGAAGGAAATCTAGTCCTGAAGACAGTCTGAACCCCTGGGTCCAGCTATACCTGAAGCCCACACTACTACTGGACTTTAAAGATATACTGGCAAGGACTACCTTTCTGTGTGTACATCTGGTTAAATCACATTTTTAGATATAACTAAAACACCCTAATGGTTAGTGTGTGTAAGGCAAAAAGAAGAGCATATCATTAACGACCTTTAGAAAGCTCATGAATCACCACTGTAAGAAAAACATGGCATTTAAAAACAGAGAGGGAGGAGCAGTCTTGTGTCCCCAGCTTGGGCAGAGCCACCAGCACCTTGTTTACCTAAAGGCCTAAAGCTGTCCCTAGCCTGGCCTGGGGGAGCAGACTCCCTTTTGTTTTCTGTGCATCCTACTTACAGCAGCCGCTTGGAGAGGGAGATCCCTGAACTCCAGATGCTCCCAGTTACCTGGAGACCGGAAGCCCTGGAGGGCAACTTCCTTGGGCAGCCTCGGAAGAGACATCCAGAGCCCAGGCAGGGAGGTGCTTGGGCCCAGGGTTCAGGCCAGGCAATGGCGGAGGGCACCGCCATGCGGTAGGCTGCCTCCCTGGCCATTGCTCCCCGAAGCCTGGAAGGGTGGGCAGCCCGGGGACTGGGACAGGGCTCCGGCACATGGGCGCATGTAGGCTTTGATTGGCCGTGTCTGGTGAAGCAGGTGTGAGCCCAAGGCCATGAGCACTAATGGCCGTAGGATGCTTGGGGAGGGAGGGAGGGACCCCCGGGGCAGAGCCTGCTCTGGAGGGGCCCTGAGCCAGAAGCCACCCGGGGAATGAGAAGTATGAGATGCAGACTCAGTCCCCTGCCTGCCAGCCTGCGGCCAGCTCTGCAAGGCCAGGGCTTGACTTCTCAGCAGCCAGCGATTACCGAGCGTCCATGCATTTTAATGAGTCAGGCTCAGGGCATCTTAACAGTGGTACATTTGCAGGGAGTGAGGGCAGTGGGGGCAGTGCTTGCATCTGAGCTGGGAGGTGGATGTCATGGGCCTGTGCAGAGGGCCTGGGAAGGCCCCTCGTGGGGAGAGGGCACCCTCAGCAAGGCTGGCCAGGCTGTGCCCGCGG